TTTCATGTATTTCGTTTCATTTCGATGATTAAGGCTCATAAAAATCAGAAATCCAGTATAGAAATAGTTTTTTTCTGGGCTAAGGAGTAAGAGAACTGAACTGCTGCTTTTTGCTATGAGTTCTGATTTTCAGTTTAAAGCAAATTTTGCATTAATATAGAAATCGAGGTCTTAGCGTCCGGAGGAAGATTAGAGAGGATTAGGCGCCTTCACAGAATTTACAAAGCAAAGCGATGCACTGATGCCTCCTGGTGGGCATCACAGCACACGACATATAATCTAACATGTGAGAACAGTTTAAATCAATCAATCAATTCAGAGAATACATATTCTGATTATTCAAATGGGCTTTCAGTAGCCCTCCAGCTCGCACTCGAGCAGTTGCAGTCAAGTGTTAAGCAGCGTTTGGATATCTGACCAGGAGGCCTCCTGGGTAAGGTGTACCAGGCATATCCTACCAGTAGGAGGCCTTGGTGTGTCTCTTAGCTGGCCTGGGAATGCTTCCCTCAAATAGTAGGTGGCTGGGAAGAGGGAGATCTAGGCTTGTATGTTCAGGCTGCTGACACCTGTGGCCTGGCCCCAGATAATCAGAAGAAAATAGATGTGTAAATGCTAATCACAAGTCAAACAGCAAGCAGCTGTGCATACTTGCTTGTAAAAAGAATTAATTTAAAGGCATTTTTCAGTGTCACAGCTTTCCACAAATCCTATTCAAACATTCCTGACATTTTGCTGAGTTAAGACTTTGAGATATAACCGCTGTGTTCTCACCAAATTTTTCAGGATCAGCTCCACTTTGAGCTAACCTGATAGCTCTGGTGCACATTTTATTTCTTACAAAGCGCGTCCAGCATGCACGCTGAGACGCCTGCAGAAAAGCTGACTGAATATTATTACTGAAAAAAAAGCCCACAGCGTGATATCACATCTTTTGCAATTTATTTAGGTTTTATTCAATAAATGTAAAAGATTATTTGCAGCCAGAAAACACACTTCACATTTTGAAATATACTGAAACGGGTATCAGAGTAAATACTGTCTTTATTGTGTAACTATTACATGATAGTTACACATGGGGACACTGTGTTAAATGTGAATAAAGTGAATGCAACGATTTTATTCTGAGTAGAACAGAAAACATGTTTAAACTCAGAGATTTTTACTGTTTCACTTAAAATAGTAGCTTATTTTGAATTTGATGGCAGCAATTAAACAAAAAAAATGGCATGGGTGCAAAAAATGCTGGAAAAGTATGTGGGACTTAAAAGAAATAGCTGGAACAACATTTTTGCAACTAATTAGGTTAATGAGCAACAGGTCGGCAGGATTACTGGATATAAAAAAGGATCACAGAGGCAGATTTTCTCAGACAGTCAGAGGTTTTCTACTCCACAAAAATTGTCACAAATTGTGGAACAATTTCAGAAAAATGTTCCTTAATGTAAAGTTACAAAAACGTTGAACATCTAATTATCTACAGCACAGACTGTCATCAAAACATTCAGACTCTGCACGACCGACAAGGCCAAAAATCAACCCCAGATGCCTGTGATCTTCCTCAAGAGCCATTGAAAACAGGCATCATTTTAATGGACACTTTCACAAATCACTGTCTGTGGACACAACTCACAATGACCTCCATAAATGCAGATTAACGGTCTATTATGCAAAGAAGAAATCATATTTGGACAAGTTTGCGAATGCTGGCATCTTCTCTGAGTCAAAGCTCATATAAAGTGTTCTGAGGCAAAGTGGAAAATTGTTCTGTGATCAAATGAATCACAATGTGAAATTCCTTTTGAAAAACATGGACACTGCATCCCCCAGCCTACAGACCAGAGAGAGCGTCCAGCTTCTTATCAGCACTCAGATTTAAAGCTGCATTAGTGCCTGTGAAGTCGGTCGCTTGCACATGTGGAAAGACACCATCAGTGCTGAAAGGTATATCCAGGTTTATGGGGAGCAACATATGATCTCATGTTGTATTTTTCGGGGAAGCAATTTTATATTTTACAATAAACCACACTCTGAATCTATTCCAACAACATCATGCATCCGAGGAGAGTAGAACAAAATAGTCTGTTCTCCTCAGCTCTGAGATGTTTGCAGGCTGTTGTTAAAAGAAGAGGTGATGCTACACAGTGGCAAAAATGTTGTGAGGCTTGTTGCTGCTATTAAATTTAAAATTACCTTTTTGTTTTTTTCTTGAAATTTACATTTTCTCAGTTTAAACATTTGACATCTATTTCTGTTCTACTGTGAATAAAATATGGGTTTCTGAGATTTACTCATTTTCACTGCATTTTAATTTTATTTACACTTTACACAGAATCCCAGCTTCTTCCGAGTCGGGGTTGTACTTTTGATTACCTTTCACTAACGCATCTTATAGATTTACACAAGGTTTATAAAGACATATAAAGACTTTTTCATGCATCCACGTGTTAGGGTAGTTGATTTCAGGCACCAGGACACGTCATGAGGACTTCCTTCAACACAGGCTTGTAAATCTCAGCATGTCTGAGATCCTGCTGAGACAAAGCAGAGTAAAAACTCAATTACAGATAATTGTACAGGCCGTATCTATTTTTCTGTGTGCGTGCTTGTCTTAGTTCATACTTTTTCCTTCGTCCTGTTACCCAGACCCCTAAATCCCAGAACCGTGGCACTAATGCAGACGCACAGCTGGAGAACAGTGAGCACGATCAAAGTAACGTCCATGGCTGTCAGCAAACTCTGAAATAAAGGAAGAATTAACAAAATACAATCAATCTGTGCGATTAATGACAAAAATATGCAATTCTGTATGTTTTAAAAGCATATTTACCTGAGCAAAGAACGCCACAAATTTGCAGTTATCGTTGTTTTGAGCAGTGGACCAGTTCAAGTCACACATCCAGACAACAGAGGCTTCTGCCAGGTCTATAGCATACAGCACAATGCCAGTGATGGCGAAGATGCAGCCAGCTATGTTCATAAACACAGCATACCATGTCTGCGAGGAGAGATTCAATCATTTACCTAACTGTGCTCCATAACAACGTAGGTTTCCTTTTAACTTTAGTCTTTACTTACAAAGCACAAGCAGGGACTCTGGCCGATGATAACGGAAAGGATTCCAGCTGCGATGCACTGAACGGGGATCAACGACTCATTAAACAACTCGTTAAAGTCAGAAATACTAAATGCATCATTTCTTATTTTGTTTTTATTCTTAAATCAACAGTTTTATTTTTTTACCACTGCACCCAGCCAGTAAGGAGCTCCCAAGCTGGTCAAATCTCCAGGATGTGTGCTTGTGCGTCCGGGACCAAGCCCAATGTTAAACAGCCCCACCATGATCTGTATGGTCTGTAAAAGAATAAATCAAACAGTCATACCAATGAAAAATGATTTTTTTAAATGAGTTTGAGTTCTCCTCACCCCAAGAACTGCAAATGCCCCATTAGCCATCGCCCCCCTGAACACTGGACAGCTGGAGAAAGTCTTGAGGGTTTGATGCAGTGGTGGAAATCTGCTCTTTTTTGTGGTCATCACAGTGACTGTGGATAACTCTCACATCTGCAAAGTGGAAAAGAGATTTTAGGAGGCATGGTTCAACAGACACACTGAAATTATAAATCCCAAAACAGTAAATCACAACTCAAACAACACACGACTGACATATCGCTATAACTCAAATATATGCAGCGAGAGTGTGTAATGACATGCTGCATAATGTAATCCTGCTGTGTCATATAATTTTACATAATGATATTTCACAGATAACTTGTCTCTATACACTTAAGCATTTACACGTGTGACATATAAATGGTAAATGGCCTGTGTTTGTATAATGCTTTACTAGTCCCTAAGGACCCCAAAGCGCTATAAAGGAATATATAAGTATGTTATAAACACTTGTTTCCAAAGAAATTGAGAAGAGATGTAAATAAAAACAATAAAAATATAATGATTTCTAAATCACTGAAACCCTGCTAATTAGATTGATTGGCAAAAGGTTGGCTGATAACATGATTATGGACAGAAGTGCATCTGAGAGAAGGTGGATGCATTGGTAAGGTAGTTTGTTTTTTGTTTTTGTTTGTTATTGATGTTTTTAAATAACTGTTCTCAAAATAAAATTGGAAAAGAAAATGCATGGATGTCATCATCAATTTTATTGCTACTCTATACAACTGGATTTATAACATATAATAAGTAAACATTTAAAAAGTAAAGAAGAGATGTGAAAAAACACTCTTCAATCATGCTATGACTGTCCACCAGAGGGCGCTCTGCAACTTCGCTGTTTGCTGCTGTTTGGAATGCCACAAAGAATAACCAGCAACCTTAGAGCACAAACAAATAAATAAACGGGAATAAAGGGAAAATTGTTCTAATTTTTCTAAAGAAAAAAAATATATATATTAGTCGACATATTGGAATATCAAATTTTTAAATGACCAAATATGTGTATTTTTTAAAATCTTAATTTTTTTTCTTTTAACAAAATAATAAGCAAAGGATTGCCTTAATGTAGGTTTTTCTTTTGATTGTCGTTTGTTATCATAACTACCCCGAAGTGTCAAATTGCAACTTGTTTCCTTTGTTTATGGCAGGTTGAGTGTAGGAACGCTTGGATTGTTGGTTGAAGAGAAGAAGACGTCAGTTTGCTCCGTGGGAAGTGTTAGTGGTCCTTTTCACTATCATATTCCACTTCACAGCTACAAACGCTGGAATTTAATGTGATTGACATGCGTAATTTCAAAACAGGAAGCGCTGCTGGGTATTTGAAAGAGTAACTGAAATTGAATGCTTACGAACGGGTTTTGTCTCTCAGCAGATGAAGTTCGGAGAAAACTTTGCACTTCCTTCAGCCTCTTATATTATAGCAAAGATGTGTACTCAAATAAGAAATCAGGGTAATTGAAAGTAACCTTGAAAATCAATTATTAACCCAAAACAGCTAAAATAAACAAAGTAGAACAAAATTAAAACGAATAGGCTACACGATAAATAAATTAATGTATTCAAAGTTTAAGTTTCAATTATTCCTTGTCTATTCATTTCTTTTGCAAGCAGTGCAAACATTGAGAAAATCCGTATCATACAGTCTGCGGCTTCACGTTAAGTAGTATAAATGACTGCAAGTGTGAGTTTCGTGCAGATGACTTACCTGGCGAGCTGCCTAAATCCCTGTAACGCCAACAGTTTCGTGCGCCGGTGACAAACTCAGGTAACAACAAAAGTGGAACTTCCTGTGTCACACTGTTCTTCAAAATAAAAGCCATTTAAAACTGAATGTGCAAAATCTATGACCAGGTTAAATTTCAGAATTTCTGGAACATAATACAGTAACTAATTGTTCCCAGCTCTCTTTATTTTGTTCCTGCTGATTCGATACACAGTGGTAACGTAAAGTTTGTTTAACACAGAGACAGTTCTTTGTCTTTTATATAAGGGGACGATTTTCTGCACATGAAAAATATTATGTGCAGACATTATCTTAACATTAGTTAACAAAAGAGCAGTGACACATCTAAAATAATAATATGGTCTATGAATAAAAATACATGTGAAGGTTTTTAGATTTTTTTAAATAATAAAATTGTCACCTGATGAAGGTATTCCAGAAGTTCTAGTGTTTTGTTTTCCTCTTCTTCTTCTTCTTAATATTCAATGTAAAATCTACACATATTATCCTAATTATAAAAATAAAAATGATAAGTGCTGTAACTGAAGAGTCATCATTGTTTTCATTATGCTTTTGAATTAAAAGAGTAAGAACAATACATAAAGCTCATTATTTGATTTTTTTATAGGTTGGTTCATTTTACAGTTTCATTTCTAACTCACTGTGTATTCTTTCTGTTGTCATGCAGCCAAAAGCTAAAACAACATTTGGGCCCTTTTTCAAAACAAACAAACAAAAAACAGGGAAAATAAGTGAAAATAACAGTGAAAATATTTATTAATTGAAATTATCATTTTGCAGTTTGCTCCATTCACTCAGTGAAGTTACAGTTTATTAAAAGAGCTAAAAATACGAGAAAAAACAGACAAACTATACTTCCATACCGTGCATGGATGTGCTTTGCTAATGTGCAACCGTGTCATTTAATTACTGAATAGAAAATCTGCATGTTAGAAAATGATTAGAATGAATGAATTGAGTTAAGAAACAGCTTTGCAGTTACAGTCATTAAACATTATTACTGTTGTAACGCAGTTTTGATTTGATTCTGCTAGTAGATCTTGAGGATTTATTTCAAGGATCCAAACATTAGAGTGAATCCTTTTTCAGCACCGGGACTCATCGTGAGGACTTCCTTCAAAATTGGCTGGGAAATCTCAGTATCTTTGACACCCTGCAGACACAAAACACAGTGCACTTCAAGAACATTACATCATGACTTACTGATGAGTTATTTTTGTTCTGAGTTGCCAATTTTATATCTGCACAGGTGCATTCTTATCATTTATTGTACGTATAGAACAGAGGAGTCTTCTCATTTGTTTACACAATGACATCAGAAAATTAGCATAAAGAAATATTTCAAGTACTTCCCAATGGTGGAAAAAGCCAGAAATCCTATGAAACTGAAGAACAAAACAAATAGTTTTACTTCTTTTTTTATTCAAGCATCAAAGAAATCATCTAGAAGCAGATGAGGATTTACAGAGAGATACTGGGCGGGATTATTGTCAATACTTTCTGCTGGAGTTCAGAGAAACAGAAGTAAATGTGCAGCTCATGCATTCATGTGTTCACGAGGTCAGTTTTCATTTCCGGGTCGGGATGATCTCTTCCATGACTTGTGGCATTCATCTTTGTCACCCTGTGGACACAGAGCTCTGATGCCCCAAATAGCATAACGAATATTGACAGCCAGCTGAAGAAGAGCCAGGGTGATCAGTGTGATGTCCAAGGATGTCAGTAATTTCTGATGATTTTAGAACACAGTAAAATAAAGAAAAAACACAATTTACCTCAAAAATTGTCATATAGCAACTCACATGACAACTTTGCTGCAGTTATGGTACACAAATGTGTGTTTAGGCTGGATTACTTGGGCAAAAAGCGCTACATTTCTGCAGTTGTCTTCATCAAGAACAGCATCGTCGCTGCTGCGGTCACAAATCCAGAGGAGAGAGGCGTCTCTCAGGTCTCTGCCATACAGCACAATGGCAGTAATGGCAAAGATCCCACCAGCAATATTCATGAAAACAGAGAAGCCCATCTGAGAGGAGACATTTAGAAAATTAAAACTTTAGAAACAAGTTGTTTAACACATTTTTTATTGACAATCTTATTTACAGCACAGTCTTAAGTCCTTCATGAGGTTTCTTACCAAACAGGATGAACGGAGTTGTCCAGCCAAAATGGACACAATTCCACTAACAATGAACTGGTGAGAGGTCAGTAGACGTGATGTTAGAGG